GGCTGGATATGAAATTCTGGGTTGAAAATTCTTTTCTTTAAGAATGTTGAATATTGGCCCCCACTCTCTTCTGGCTTGGAGAGTTTCTGCCGAGAAGTCTGCTGTTACTCTGATGGGCTTCTCTTTGTGGGTAACCCGACCTTTCTCGCTGGCTGCCCTTAACATTTTTTCCTTCATTTCAACTTTGGGGAATCTGACAATTATGTGTCTTGGAGTTTCTCTTCTCGAGGAGTATCTTTCTGGTGTTCTCTGTATTTCCTGAATTTGAATGTTTGCCTGCCTTACTAGGTTGGGGAAGTTCTCCTGGATGATATCCTGAAGAGTGTTTTCCAACTTGGTTCCATTTTCCCCTCACTTTCAGGCACACCAGTCAGATGTAGATTTGGTCTTTTGACATAATCCCATATTTCTTGGAGGCTTTGTTCAATTCTTATTCCTTTTCTTCTCTAGACTGCTCTTCTCGCTTCATTTCATTCATTTGATCTTTAATCATTGATACTCTCTCTTCCAGTTGATAGAGTCAGTTACTGAAGCTTGTGCATTTGTCATGTATTTCTCATGTCATGGTTTTTATCTCTGTCAGTTTGTTTATGGCCTTCTCTGCATTGATTATTCTAGTTATCCATTCTTCCACTCTTTTTTCAACATTTTTAGTTTCTTTGTGCTGGCTACGTAGTTACTCCATTAGTTCTGAGAAGTTTGATCGACTGAAATCTTCTTCTCTCAACTCGTCAAAGTCATTCTCCATCCAGCTTTGATCTGTTGCTGGTGATGAGTTGCGTTCCTTTGGAGGGGGAGATGTGCTCTGATTTTTTGAATTTCCAGCTTTTCTGCCCTGCTTTTTCCCCATCTTTGTGGTTTTATCTGCCTTTGGTCTTTGATGCTGGTGATGTACTGATGGGGTTTTGGTGTGGGTGTCCGTTCTGTTTGTTAGTTTTCCTTCTAACATTCAAGACCCTCAGCTGTAGGTCTGTTGGAGATTGCTCGAGGTCCACTCCAGACACTGTTTGCCTGGGTATCAGCAGCAGAAGATGGAATATTGCTGAATAGTGAGTGTTCCTGTCTGATTCTTGCTCTAGAGGCTTCATCTCAGGGGTGTACCCCACCATGTGAGGTTTGAGGTGTCAGTCTGCACCTAGTTGGTGATGTCTCTCAGTTAGGCTACTCAGGGTTCAGGGACCCACTTGAGCAGCCAGTCTGTCTGTTCTCAGATCTCAACCTCCGTGCTGGGGTATCCACTGCTCTCTTCAAAGCTGTCAGACAGGGTCATTATCATCCGCAGAGGTTTCTGCTGCTTTTTGTTTTGCTTTGCCCTGTCCTCAGAGGTAAGCTCATATTATTTTTAAGTAAATGTTGATGAGTATTAAATCATGGTGGTATTTTAAGATCCTACTGTTCGTATTGTAAACACTAAAAGACGTCTCACCAATCAAAATTATCGTAAGTGACACATGGGCACAAATGTGAACACTGCTGTCTTAAGAGCACCTCAGGTTTTTTCTTCAATGGATATTTACTTTGCATCCTTTCTTCTTTCAGTGAGAAGAGGTTTTGGAGGAATATTTTAAGTATGATCCTGAACACAAATTGATTTTCAGATTTGTTCGTACTCTGTTTAAAGCCATAAGGCTTTTTTTTTTTTCTTTATTATACTTTAAGTTCTAGGGTACATTTGCACCACGTGCAGGTTTGTTACATATGTATACTCGTGCCATGTTGCTGTGCTGCACCCATCAACTCGTCAGCACCCATCAACTCGTCATTTACATCAGGTATAACTCACAATGCCATCCCTTCCCCTTCTTCCTCCCCATGAAAGGCCCCTGTGTGTGATGTTCCCCTTCCCCAGTCCAAGTGATCTCATTGTTCAGTTCCACCTATGAGTGAGAACATGTGGTGTTTGATTTTCTGTTTTTGCGATATTTTGCTGAGAATGATGGTTTCCAGCTGCATCCATGTCCCTACAAAGGACACAAACTCATCCTTTTTTATGGCTGCATAGTATTCCATGGTGTATATGTGCCACATTTTCTCAATCTAGTCTGTCACTGATGGACATTTGGGTTGATTCCAAGTCTTTGCTATTGTGAATAGTGCTGCAATAAACATACGTTTGCATATGTCTTTATAGCAACATGATTTCTAATCCTTTGGGTATATACCCAGTAATGGGATGGCTGGGTCATATGGTACTTCTAGTTTTCGATCCTTGAGGAATCACCATACTGTTTTCCATAATGGTTGAACTAGTTTACAATTCCACCAACAGTGTAAAAGTGTTCCTATTGCTCCACATCCTCTCCAACACCTGTTGTTTCCTGACTTTTAAATGATTGCCATTCTAACCGGTGTGAGATGGTATCTCATTGTGGTTTTGATTTGCATTTCTCTGATGACCAGTGATGACGAGCATTTTTTCATGTTTCTGTTGGCTGTATGCATTTCTTCTTTTGAGAAATGTCTGTTCATATCCTTTGCCCACTTTTTGACGGGGTTGTTTATTTTTTTTCTCGTAAATTTGTTTGAGTTATTTGTAGGTTCTGGATATTAGCCCTTTGTCAGATGAGTAGATTGAAAAAATTTTCTCCTGTTCTGTAGGTTGTCTGTTCACTCTGATGGTAGTTTCTTTTGCTGTGCAGAAGCTCTTCAGTTTAATTAGATCCCATTTGTCAATTTTGGCTTTTGTTGCCGTTGCTTTCGGTGACATGAAGTCCTTGCGCAAGCCTATGTCCTGAATGGTATTACCTAGGTTTTCTTCTAGAGTTTTTATGGTTTTAGGTTTAACATTTAAGTCTCTAATCCATCTTGAATTAATTTTCGTATAAGGAGTAAGAAATTGATCCAGTTTGAGCTTTCTACTTATGGCTAGCCAATTTTCCCAGCACCATTTATTAAATAGGGAATCCTTTCCCCATTTCTTGTTTTTCTCAGGTTTGTCAAAGATCAGATGGTTGTAGATGTGTGGTATTATTTCTGAGGACTCTGTTCTCTTCCATTGTTCTATATCTCTGTTTTGGTACCAGTACCATGGCAATCGTTAAGTTTGGTAAGATTTTTTCTGTTTATAAAGCAGCTTTAGAAATTCTTCTTGTAAACAGGGTGATGTGGTTGTATTTTTAAATAACAGTTTCTGAAATTATCTCAAAATTTTAAGAGAAACTTATGAAAGCAAATACATTTTAGTTGAATCATCATTATGACTTAAAATGTCACAGTTGCTTTTCTTGTCACAGAACAATTGCTATTAAAGGCAGTAGGAGGGATTTCTGATTTCTCACCCAACACTTCAGTAAATGCAGTGCACACACATCCAGGGCATATGGAGGGCTTGGAATGGGGAGCAGTAATGAAACCATCTGGCCAATGGGCAAGAAGAGATGCTGGTGTAGATCTAAGCTGAGTCCCAGGCTGTATCCCCAGGCAATTCTGATGCATATTGTCATTGACAGCTGCTGCCCTGAATTCTTTGTTCCTTGGATGATGTGTGTTAATCTGTCCCTGCTGATGACCTGTGCATGCTCATGAAGTTGCCCAGGAATGTGATTCCAGTTGGTCTACCAAACTATAGCTGTGTCATTACATTTACATTATCCCTACAGAATTCCTTTTGTAAAACTATCATTTTTAAATATAAATTCTGTTCAAGTTTTTAAAAATAGTCTTACTCATCCCCACAACAAACCCATATAGGAAAGTCAACTCCATGGCCAGGAATGAAAAAATACTTATGTCAATACTTCTTTAGCAACCAGTTAGACTCTAACAGAGAAGGCTCCTGCTGTGCACTTGAATCAAAGCCCTGAAAGGGCATGGGACCAGATACAGGCCTTCTCGAGGAGCTGCAGGTCATTTAGAACTCTTAGCACGTGCTAGAGGGAAGCAGGATGGTGCTTCCAGATGTAGAGAGATAGATGATGCAGGAGGGAAAGCTGGATTGGAAAAGGGAGAGTTTTGTACATGGGCTAAGCTTGATGTGTCTTTGAGAGAGCGGAGTAGCAAAGTCTAGTCATCATTTGGATATACGAGACTAGAGCATGAATCTGATGTGGAGCTACAGAATGAAGAGCAACAGCGGCTGTTTAAATACCAAGGAAGTGTGTAGAATGAAATGGGACAAGTCAGGCATGGTGGTTTCATGCCTTAGTCCTAGCTACTTGGGAGGCTGAGGTGGGGGAATTACTTGAGCCCAGCAGTTTAAGTCCAGCCTGGGTCAGATGAGGAGACCCTGTATCTTTTTTTAAATTAATTAATTAATTAATTAACTTATTTACTTGAGGTGGAGTCTTGCTCTGTCGCCCAGACTGGAGTGCAGTGGCTTGATCTTGGCTCACTGCAAGCTCCGCCTCACAGGTTCATGGCATACTTCTGCTTCCGCCTCCCGAGTAGCTGGGACTACAGGCGCCCACCACAACACCTGGCTAATTTTCTTGTATTTTTAGTAGAGATGGGGTTTCACCATGTTAGCCAGGATGGTCTCAGTCTCCTAACCTCGTGATCTGCCTGCCTCAGCCTCCCAAATTGCTGAGATTACAGGTGTGAGCCACCACACCTGGCCAAGACCCTGTATCTTAAGAAAACAAAAAGTAAGGCCTGGTACAATATCTCATGCCTGTAATGCCAGTATTTTGGGGGGCCAAGTTGAGAGAATTGCTCAAGTGTAGGAATTCATGAGCAGACTGGGCAATAAAGTGAGACTCATTTCTATAAAAAAAAAAATTTAAGAAATTAGCTAGATATGATGGCACATGCCTGTGGCACCAGGAACATGGTAGGCTGAAGCAAGAATATCACTTGAGCCCAGGAGGTGGAGGCTGCACTCCAGCCTGGGCAAGTGAGTGAGACCCTGTGTCAAAATAGATAAAGTGAACAGAAAATATGTCTGTAAGGACTATTATCATTTGAGGGACAAGCCCCCAGTGGAGTAGCCACTAGAGTGGGAAGAGGAAAAGCAGAAGAGGATAATAAAAGGAGAAAGAGTTCAAGATAGGGGAAGCTGTGGTCACAGTGCTGAATGCTGCCAAGCAGTGACTTGATTCGTGAACTCTCATTGGATGCTGACTCTGTGCCACTCTTCTTAGTGCTGGGGTAGAGGAAAGGACAGGTGGAACACAGTTCTTGCTTTTATAAGCTTATGTTCTAGGAAGATTGAACTTAAGTATTTTCTCAGGTAGTATGAAACAGCAGGAAGAGGAAGCAGGATAAAGGGTTACAGAGTGATTGGGGGCTATTTTAGATAGAGTGATAAGGAAGAGGCTGACATTTGAAGAGTGACCTGACTGAAGGGATGACGGGCAAGAGTGCTGACATTGCAGGCAGCAGGATGACTGCCAAGACAGACAGAAGTGTGTTTCTTATGTGTTTGAGGAACAAACGGCAAGGTGACCAGCACGGTCAGAGTGAAGAATGAGGGAAATAGTGGATATGAGGCCCCACAGGCAGTACCATAGCTCACAGGGCCTTTGGCTTGTAGGCCATGGGAAGAAGTTAATGTTTTACTCCAGTTTGATGGGAAGCTCGTGGTAGATCTTGAACAGAGGAGTGCCATGCTCTAAATGAAGAGGTTACACTGGCTGCTTTGGGGACTGTAAGTCATAGTTAGCACGCGCTAGACGGAAGCAGGATGGTGACTGTAAGTCACACTGGGAGGCAGAGTGGAAGCAGAGGAGAGGGTTAAGAAGCAACTAGGGTAATAAAGGTGAGCAGTGACAGACTGTGGGTCACCATCAAACCATGCAGACTACCAATGAAGGTAGACATAAGAAGCATTGCACACAGATTGGAGTAGGGGAACTGAAATGCAGGTATTTGGCCCCAACACCTAGGCAAATGCAATGTATGCAGAGCTTTAGTTTGTCAGCATGAAGGCACAAGAGACAAAAGCCTGTTGGCAAGAGGAGCCTTGGGAGAGCCATATCAGCAGAGGCAGGCAGTGTAGATGAAGGAGAGATGGAAGACGAAGAGCTGGCATGAGGGGATGGTGCTGTGAGCACCAGTGAGAGGACACAGTTGGAGAGGAGTGGGGAGTGGGATGGGGACAAAGGAAACACAATTTGGAGGAAATCTCTGGTAGAGAGGAAGAAAATCTTCAGAAAGAGGTGATTGTGGGAACAGTGTGCTGCAAGAGTGAGATGGGATCAACTGCACTGAGGGAAGAGTTGGCATCAGTGGGAATAAAGAATTCTCAAACTCACCCAGAAGGGCATGTGACATGGATGAGTGTCAACAGGTCAGCAGCTTAGCAGGAAAGGGGACAGGAAGTAGAGGACTTGCCATGTTGTTTCAGAGGTCTCTGATTCCTACACAGTTGAACCCTGGCAGGGAGGTTCATTCTTGAAATACTTCAGAGCGCAGAGTTTGGGAGAAAGGGAGCAGAATCTGTAAAATATGTTCAATAGCCATTTGTTTTTGAAAACATATTTGAGTTTGGCAGTGTTCAGATCAGTGTCAGGTCTGGCAGTGTTCTGCAATCTGATACCCTTCAGACAAGATATAAACTCAAGGTGAAATGGGGTGGAGGGTGCACCCAAGAAAGCCAAACAGCAACAGCTCCAGCCTTCAGCTTCCAGTGTGAGCAACACAGAAGAAAGGTGATTTCTGCATTGTCAACTGAGGTACCGGGTTCATCTCA